GTAAATGGTCCTTCAGATGCTCTTATTTGCATATGACATTGAGGTGATTTCAGCAAATACTGGAATATTAGAGGACATCTCAAATGTGATCCATAATCACTTTAAAGAATTTGTGCTACATGACTGGCCCATCTCCTTTACCAGTTGTCTTTCAATGATTTCCTTGAACTGCTTTACCTACATAATTATTTGTTGGCAATATGCTATGTAGCAAGATCAAGGGATAACTGATGGATAGACCTAATTCTCCAGTGATATCCATACAATATAAGAGATCTAGCCAAAATCTCCAAGCTTATTGAAGGGGTCCTAATGGAGGATTTAAAGGAGAACATGGACAAGAGTTGCGTAGGATGAGGAGTTGTTGTTGTTGTTTGTCATGACTTGCAAGTGAATTGGATTTCAGTGAGTGAGGGCTGTGCAAAGTCACTAGCCTCACTTTCTCCTCTGAAGCCATCTGCATCCAGTGGCAAGATATAGATCAACATGACTGGAGATGGTCCTGGATGCAGTAGGAGACCTTGGCCTTTTTAAGCTAAGGTCTTTCCCAGGTCTCAGTTCCACTGAGGCAACACCCATTCAGTGATTAAAGCTAGGTTAGAAATACGGCAAAGAATGGCCTTTTACCTAGTCAAAAAAAAAAAAAATCAATCTGGAAGGGGAAGACCCTCAGGGTTTCTGGCCAAAACAGAAACAGTTGCTATTTACATTCACTTTGAGACATCAGGTATGAAACAATGACCAGGTGGGGCTTGGACCTGGACCTATTTTTGGCCAATTAACCAGAGCCAGAGTGATTTGGGTTTAAGACACCATCCTTAAGAAGGAAATCTAGCAGGTAACCCCCAAGATATCTTTTGAGGTTTCAGCCATCAAAATTTATATTTCTTTGGGCAGAGCACTCACAGGTAAGGGTATTATAGCCTATGTGGACAGAAGAAGGAAGAGAGGAGAGGAAGAAGGTAGGAAAGGAGCTGTGTTGCCCAACTGGAATTGGACAGTTGGGTCCCCAGTGGGGCAGCTCATATTACTCACAGGTTGTTGTTTGTCCTTCATCTCGAAGAGGGCCATGACATCAGGAAGGTGACGCCATGACTTTCTAATGAGTTGGATTTAAGTGAGAGAGAGAGAAGATGTGGATGACTTGTAACAATTTTTTTTTTTTAAGGCAATAGAAGTTAAGTGACTTGCCCAGGGTCACACAGCTAGTAAGTGCCTGAGTTCACATTTGAACTCAGGTCCTCCTGACTCCAGTGCTGGTGCTCTTTTCACTGTGCCCCACCTAACTGCCCCCTAAAATACTCTTATATTTGAAATCACAAGTACACTGAAGTATCAATGTTTAATAAGAGGGTGAATGAGGATGCATATAGGCAGTTTCAGAACTGTCAAGCAGGCTGTCATCATCTTGGGTTCCATATTTCTCCAACAAACCATATTTTAACCCTAATTTGTCCTTTTTTGGGGGGGTTATGTGTCTATATAGAAAAGGAGAGATATTTGCCAGAGAACCCGAGCCAGATAACAGAAGTTTATTTCATGTTTCTGATTCTTTTAGAAGTAAGGAAATAGTTCAATGAACACAACGGCAAAGTCCAAATGGAAAGGATTAGGGTGAGGGAGCTGAGAGCTCCATGTTGTTGGATAATGGGAAACTGATGTAATGTACAGCAATGATCTGTCTTTTCTCCCAGTAGCTTTAAGCCTCTTTCCAACATTACTCACTCTATTGAACTTAACAACTTTGTTGAAATATGAAAGTGGGTATAAAATATTCCCATTTTTTTCAGATGAAGAAACTGAGGCTACAGGAAGCTTCATTGTATGTGAGGTCAACTTGGTTATAGTTCCAATAATTCAGAATCTGCTAGTGCTTCCTATTTGTCAATCAAAGCAACAAAGTTTCAGAAAAACCAGAGAACAGCCCAGTGGTCCAAATAGAACTTTATAGGAAATAACTATAGTCAAAAAAGGGACAAATAGGAAAAATGAGCAAAACATAGGACGAATGATTCAAAGAATTCTAAGCCTGGGAGGGACTCAAATCAGTCACTTGATCCCTCCGCTTGACTATTCACCAACAGTAGCAATACATGTTTACAAATTCATCACCACATGAATAAGTTAGCCAAAGCTATCATGAGTCTTGTCTTCTCCAGTCTAAACATCTCCAATTCCTTCAGTTATTACTCAGATGTCATGTATTCAAGGCTCTTGGTTACCCTCCTCTGAACACTCCCCAGCTCACCCACAAAGGTTCTCAACCCTAGGTGTGAGCTTCCTTACCACCACTCTATTATTCACAATGAATATTTAATTGCCTTTTTTTTTTAAACTCTTCTACTCTCTTTTCTCACCACTGGAGTTGCCTGCTCTGTGTATTCACGTAGTCATTTTGTCATCTTGGTTCCATGAAGAGTAGGCACTGCTTCAGAGGCTAACTGGACATTTTCCCAGTTGTCTGTGAGGTTACCAAAGGCTTTAGCACCATTTCATAGGTTATGGAGGAAGAAGCATTGGTCTGCCTTCCTTGGAAACTCTGCGTTGTGACAGCATCATAGGAATTTCCCCAACTTATATTATTAAGGCTGTTCAATTCCAGTCCCATGCAAAAAGTTGCCATCCTAATATCCAGAATGTGATGTAGCTGTTGCTACAGTATCACCAGGTTCTATCTCCCAATGACATGGTGGTTGTGGCTTTTCTTGTTCCAGCTGCCACTAGTGAAAAATTACCACCTACTTAAGACCATCCTAGTAATGGTATCCAGTACCTGGTAGGTGGATTGGGTTGCTCAGTGCTAGGGTAAGAAAAGTCAAATCCAAAGAGTTCTCTCTTCTCTAGGCTTACTACTCCTGTGTGTACCATGGCCTCATATGACTTGCTGATGAAAGTTTTCCCCTCACTGGTCATCTGTCCTACTCTCACTGTTCTCCCTCTCCTCCCTGGACTTTTATTATCTTTTGTCCCACCTCCAAGACATAGGCTAACTCAGTTTACCTAACACTAGTATGTTGATTCCGTTTCTTAGAGGATCTGATGACATGGAGGAAAAGCATAGTAGGAAATATAGTTTCCCAGACTATGTTACAGGCAAAGTGGTTCCAAGGAGTTGTTATCTTCTACACTTCAATAAGTCATTTAAAAAATGTTAATAACCCCGTCCTCAGATGGGGTTAGCAATGCTTTATAGCAGAACTTACTTTCTGAGCAGATTCTTTTCTCTTCACAATAGGGGCCATGGACCCCCCCTTTTTTTGTATAACAGACTATTTTCCACTATTTCATGTAGTTTACTTTGCTGTCAAATAACAATAATTATTATGATAATACCTCGTGTAATGCCTCTACTAGAACAGGTAATAATTGTTTCTACGTAGACTTCTCGGATTTGGAGGTGATTTTTTCCCCTCTCATTTCCCAAGGCAAGGAAACATGACCAAAAGGAAAGCACATTAAAAGGAATCTCTATCCTCCTCGGCCCCCCATGGAGCAGCAGCATGGCCAAGTGGAGAAATCCTGCTACCTCCCTCCTCTCTGCATGTTATCTTTCTTTTTCTGGGGTTCTCCTTTTAATCCTGTCCCTGTCCCGAAGTGTGCATTATTTCCTTGCCTTAGAGATAAAAAAAGAAATCCAAACCACAAAATTCTATGAAGATCCCCTCCAGCTCCCACAGGTAGTACCAGATTCACTTTTGGATAGCATTATTTCTGTATTTTTCAGAGTACTTTTACACCAATTTTATTTTATAAATCCTTCCAATAACCCAATGTAGTAGGCATGGTATCATTAGCCCCCTTCTGTAGATGAGAAAACGGGCACAAAGTGGACCAGTGGTTTGTTAGAGATGTAATCCTACCTAGGTCATAAAAAATAGAATTTTAAAGTTGGAAAGGGTCTCAGTGCTCATTTAGAAACCAGGTAGGTATTCCATTCCCAGTCTAGTATTCTTTCTCCAAAATTACACAGTGCTTCCCTTCTTGTAGCAATCAAAGAACTAATCCCAGAGTTGTTATCAGAATAGGTTAATTTCTCACCAGTCATCCTGCCACTTCCACTGCAATATGAAAAAAAAAATAGTCTTCGGTTTTCTCAAGATATTTTCTCAAGCATAATAACTTGAGAAAATTGTCTAGTTGTTGCATCCTCTGTAACATCCAGCTTCCCTTTAATATTATCATCTTGAATGATCTACTCTTCTGTACAAACGGTTCTATCCAACAATCTCAACTTTTGTATCTTATTTTAGAGCAAAAGTTCATGACATGATTCCACCTAAGTTAAAGGGTGGGACTTCAGAGCTCTTCCAAAGGTAAATTTAACTTACCCTATCAGCCAGATACAGTAATATCTTCCATATAGTTCACTTAATGTTGCCTTTGTTTAGTATCTGCTGACATCTCTTTAATATTTAGAAATGGCATGGAGACATTCCATTTTTCTAAAACAGGATCTGGGGTTGGATAATGAACTAGATCTAAACCTGAGTAGAAGCAATGGGCAGAAATTTGAGAATTTGCACCATCTTTATAGTGACACCAAGCTTGTTTCCTGAAAATAAAAGCCCATCTTTTGATATCAATATTTTTCTGATGATTGTGACTGCAAGATGCAGTATACCATAGTCTTTAGGGAATTAAGGTGCTAAGTCCTCCAAAGGGAAATAGAGAGGCTTAGATCAACAAATAAATGCATGGCAGAAGGGAAAAGGATGTCAGCAGAGAGATATATGTTTGGAAAAGGAGACAGTCCAGTCATTAGCAAGTACAAGAGACAAACAATGGATATCTCATGTGGTCTGCTGCTATACTATGCCTAGGAGGCAGCTGGTGGCACAGTGGATCACTGCACCTGGAGTCAGGAATACCTGAGTTCAAATCCAGCCTCATATACTTCTTAACTGTGTGATTCTGGGCAAGTCACTTAACATATCTGTCTCAGTTTTCTCAGCCTTAAAATGGGGACAATATTACCTATTTCACAGGGTTATTGTGAGGATCAAATGACATATTTGTAAAGCACTTAGCAGAGTACCTGACACATAGTCAGTGCCCTTTCCTTCCTCCACTCCTCTCTCTGATCCACATAATGTCAAGAAGGTTAGAGGAAGGTCCTGGGCATCTTAGATGGATAACCTGTAGAGGATTTATAGGAGGATATGATCTAGAATTGTACAGAACAAGAAGGTGGAGATGGGGAACAATCTGCTCCCCTGGAGGGAGCACCCAAATTGATAAGATCACAGATCTATTGAAATATGGAAGAAATGGCTACTCACAACTTTTGCTGAACCTCCCCCAATCTGACTTTGCTAGAAAATATAAACAAGTGGAAGATGAAGAAAGATCAAGAAGGACTCCTATTTTTGTTACTTTGGTAATTTGGAGGATTGCCCACCGATAAAGGGTGAAGATTAGTTTGATTGTGTGGTTATTTAGCTTAACGTAGATTAGTTAGTGGGATTAGTTAGATAGTTAAACAGTGTGGTTTGGACTCTGAAATTTCAAAGTAGTATACCTTGCCTCCAGATCATTTGGTCAAATCAGGCGTAACCATCATGGCTGCTACTGATCAAAATTCAGTTTCTACTCCCATAAAATCCAAGGAAAACTGAAAAATGGTCTCAGTTTAGTTCTTATGGACATTCCCCCTTCTTTGGCAGCTGGCTCAATCACCAAAATGGTACACATTTCTCATTACCTTTGTTTTGTGATTTGTAGGGGGTCCAAAGATGGGGGGATCCAAAGATGGGGGATCCAAAGACGGAACGGACTAGAGACCAACCTCCACCTAAGCATTTCACAGTAGTTACCTTAGGTCAGGACTCTGACAGGAAGTGGCATCCCAGAATCATAGGATCTTCAGAGATGGCAAGATGCCCACTCCTCCTGCCTGGGCTTCCTCTGCTCTCTCTGAATAGAAAGAGCAATGCAGACAGAAGGTGAGATGCTGAGGCTGGAATTGGAGGCTCGATTTGGGATGGGATAAAACGAAGAACAGGAGCAGATTGGGCAGGCTGTGCTGCTGGTGTCGTTGGGGATGCTATTAAGGATGCTCACACAGCAACGTACACGTCTGGATTCCCATCTGATCAACGTCAATATACTTTTCAGTATTATTCATTTTGGAAGAAGAGCCTTAATTAGGCATGAAGAGATTTATCAAACAGCAGCCTCCTGGAGCAGGTTGGTCTCTGTACCATCTGGTCTGATGGTTTCTTATCCCGATTGGAAAATCAGCAGAGAAGATTTATTAAGACCTGTAGCTCCAACAACCCCTGCCTGGTAAAATGCAAACAGCTTTCATCTCCACCAAACCAACAGGAGATTTCACTTACGCAGACAAGCATACATCTCTAGGTTCATGGTAACACATACTCTACCATGAGCATATTCTCTCTCTCTCATTATGCAGATGGACGGAGAGTTCTTTGCACTCATGTTCTTTGAATATGACAAGGGTGATACTGAATTACTGCCAATAAAGCATATGCTTGAAGTAAATTTTTTTATGGTATTAGGAATATTTTGTATTGATTAGTCTCTACATTATAGTGGAAAGAGGGCAGGAGTAGGAGTCAGAGGACCTTAACTTCTAGGCCCAACTCCGCCATGTGCTTGCTGGGTGACTTTGGACAAATCATTCTGAGCTTAGATTTCTTCATCTCTAAAACAGGTGGACTAATTCTGGCCTTCCAGGGTTGTTGTGAAGATCAAATAAAACTTAGCTAGAATCATGGAGTCATGGAATTTTAGAAATGGAGCGAAGCTTAGTGACAATCTATCGATGAATGTACTATATTAATAAATTATAAAGTGCTAAGAAAATGTTATGACCATTGCCATTTCTTACTTTCACTGGATGAGTCCCCTGTCACCAACATGCTTGCAATACAGTTGGCCAAGGTAAGTCTATGGAGGCAACATAATGTAGTAGTAGAAAAAATACTGGGTCTGGAATCAGAAGACTTGAATGCTAGCCCTTAGGTCTGATACTTATATTAATGGTGTGACCTTGGGCAAAGTGACCTATCTGAATCTCCAATTCCTCATCTGTCTTAAAAGGATGGTAAAAATGGTTCACATTGGTATAGTGATTCACAGGTTACAAAATATTTTCCTCAAAAAATTCCCATAAGATAGGGCTTGAAAGTATGATCCCCATTTTGCAAAAAAGGAAACTGAGGCTCAGAGAGGTTATCACTTAACCAAGGCCATAGACAGGGCTAGGAATCAAAGATCTTCAGTGCTCACATGATTTACCTATCTCACAGGGCTCTTGTAAGAAACAGATGAGATTATAGGGTAAAGTGCTTTGTGATTGTAAAGTGCTATAAAAATGTGAGCTATTGTTATTGTTACACTCCCACCCCAACCTCCCCCACACCATATACCAAAGCTAACCTGTCTATACAGGGATAGAAGCCATGACCCCAGGCTTCATTAGTATTATGATCTAATCAAATAAGCCAATTAGGTAAGAACTTATTGTCTGCTTCCTTTAAGTCTTGGTGGTCAGATGGAAAAGGACAGGAAGGAAAAGCCAATGGAGTCATTGCTGCTGCACAAAGCATTTTGCTAGTACAAGAATCAACAAAATTAACCTTATATTTCTAACTCTTTTCAAGAAATAGATGAAGGAAGGTTTTCAATCACTTCCTACTTCTCTAAAAGTACAGTTCACCAAAGCAGACCCTCAGGAAGAGGCCAGTCTAACATGGGGATGAAAAGCAAAAATCAGTGGCGCAAGTTATTTCTGCATACAACTACCACTAATGTCAGTTTAAGGAGCCAGGCCAGAAAAAAAAATCAGGTAAACAATTCGGACTTCTTCAAGAATCCTCTCCATTGGGAATAGTGTCTGCTGGCTAGAACATAAGGCTGGAATTCTGGACTCCTGGGTCCTTTTCCTGACTTGCTGCTGACTTGCTTTATTAGTTTTGGGGTTAACCACCAGAGTCCTTTGTGTCTGAGTTAATCCAACTAGAATATGCTGGCAATGTCACTTACCTGCTCCCTCTTGGGCTCTGTGAGCCTTGAAAATGAAATGTTCCTAAAACCCTTTGAGATCTTCAAGATGAAAGGCTCTAGAGAAGTGTAAAATATGATGGCAATTATTTCTGCTTCCTCTAAGGAATCTATATCATCCAGTTCTCACTGAAGCTATCGGCTGTTGCTTTTAAAATTTTCATTTCATGATGAAAACTAAAAATCTAAACTCTAGAACAATACTACAAAGAACAAAACAAGTTATAGCAGCAATCACTGCCTTATCCTGGGGAGTATTTTGTCCTGGGTTAATGGCTTAGGGGCAGCCTTCTGTTAGCTTCTAGCTACTATCTCACCAGCCATTAATCTGAAGCAAATATCCTGTCTTGAATTGCTATTGATTAATTATGTCCAATCTCATATGTTTAGAAGCAGATCTTGATTGTTTTTCTCAACTCCCTTCAAGGTAATGGTTTTTCACTTAACTTCAAAATATGTCTTAAAACATGATTATTAAACAGAGAGTTAATACAGCAATGAAATCAAGACAACCCATGCCCCATATGCAGTATCCATCTCTAACTGTGACCCAGGATTCCAACTCTTAAGTGACTGGTTCTCAGCCCATGTTTCCCCAGGATGTCCAGTGGTTTGCACCCTATAGTCGGCTTTACAAAAGGGAAAGATTATACAAACCTTAGTAGGAACAAGTCAAATTTCACAAAATCCCAAAATAATTGCATCAGTTGTGGGGGGATAGGAGAGAAGGGAGGATTTAAACCTCTCCTTGCAGAGTCGGAAAGCTAAACAAGAGAGCCAAGCCACACTACCTGACAATCAGGACAAGAAACTGACAAGAAAGTGACGTTGAAACTGAGCAGTCTGGTTGCTTTGACCACACAGAGTGAGATGCAGAACACAAACGGTGCTGGTGCTGAGAAATGAAACTGGATGTCTAAAATTCTTTCAGGTTTCACACTCTGGGGCTTTGTGTGAAATGAGGGAAGGCAATCTTATATATTTTACCACGATGACATTTATCTTGACAGTGCCCTTTCAAGCCTTGGCTTTGGATTTCATTGCTGCGGTAGCTTTCAGTCCAATCCCTGACCTTATATTTTAGCAGGAAGGAAGGTGAGTTAACCCGTGGGGAGCAAGAAAGAGACTTAAAAGGTGACTTTGATTGGTATGAGGTCAGATTATAATATCCTTTCTCTTACCCTCAATACCACCTTTAGGTCTGTGATTCCTTCTCTTCCTCCACTTCTCCTAAATCTCAGGGCTTTTCTCTCTTTGCCACTCCAGAGAACATTTAGAAAAGGCTAAGCATTGTTTGACACTCTTTTGTTTTTGCCCCAAGTGTGGCTCTGACCACCTCAGATTTTTTTGTTTTTGTTTTTGTTTTTTGTCTACAAGAATTGATCTGGTTTGAATGATCAGAGTACTTTCAGGGTCATCTTTCTTTCTCTGCTTCAGCCAGCAGTGGTGTTCATGCTGGCATCATGATTTTGTAAGCTAGAAAGCCAGAGTTCATTGCTGATTTTTCCAGTTTGTTTTATGAACTGAAGCAGTGTCCCATCTGGAACACAGTGATGGGCCATGAGCTTGTCTCCTAGACAATTCACCTAGAGTAAATAAACCAAGGCCATCCACTAACATGCCCCAACCTGTGCTTCTCGGTTTCTTGCCCCTCTTTTCTGTTGAGCTCCCATCCCTTCCTCCCTTTTCTTGAACAGTATCATTTTTAAAACTAAACCCAGTTGCCAACCTCTAGGTTCTGGATCACCCAGAATCCACTTCTCTCAGAGACACAGAGCAGCTGAAAATAAATTAGCCTTAGCATTCATCCATCAGCCCCCAGAATCCTTCAACCCAGGACACTATGATGTATCCAGTGCTGGAATCAATTTCCTTTTGAGTCCAATCCTCTCACTCCCAAAGACAGTGTCTCCAGATCAGGTAAGTCCTCAGCACCTTCTTCCTGTAACTTGTCTGCTATACTCTGGATGAACACCACATAGTTATAATACTCAGGTCAATATATATATGCAAGTATATATATTCTTGTCACTGTTTTACACTTTAACAAAGAAAACCACTAGCCTCTGCTCATCCTATTGTTTTTGCCTCCCGACCCCCATCTGCCCGTGGTGTAGCCTGCAGGAAACGTGAGCCACGGAATCTTCTTTGGCAGCCATTTTACGTGGCTCCATCACACTCACCGACGGTCAGTTTCAAAGCCCCCTGTTGGTGCAAGGTCTTTAGGGCTTTAAACTCCAAGGGCATGGTATGGGGGCTGGCCTGGGATGTATAGCCATATTTAAGGCTGTCATAATAGTGATACTTGACAGGGTTCTGATTCTGATCTCGTGGAAAGGGCCAAAAGCCATAGAGGTAGATGGTGTTGCAAAAGCGTGTGGCCAGAGTATACATCAGCAGTCCTGTGGTGGGTCTTTTGATGTGTACTTTGTTTGTCAGCCAATACCTGAAAAGAAGAGTAAAAAAAAAAAAGCCCACAAGTTTCATAACTCACTGTTTCCTGAGAAAAAGCACTTTGTCACACCCTAGAACTGGCAGTGTGCTGGATCTAGCTCATACAGTTAAGTTTCTGGTGTAAGCATTTGTACCTTGGAAATTGGCAAATTAGGGCTTGGTTTATTGTTTTGTTGATGGTCTTTAAGAAAGTGATGGAAAAAATGTTAATAATACAGATTAAACTTAAAAGTATGTTGTAAGTACATTCCCCCTACCCCCAAGAGCTGGTTGTTAAACATTTATAAGCATGCCCCTGCCAAGAACCCTCTGACCCACTAGTCCCAGTTTAGAAACAAAGTGTAAAAATCATCAGTCGTGGAATTATCCCTTCTAGCCCCATATGATTGTTTCTTGCTCTTCAATGATTAGAAAAATTCAATGTTAAGAGCTGGAAGGAATCTCAGAGATCATTTAATCCAAGTCTCTCATTTTATGGTTGAGGAAAATGAGGCCCAATGGCTTGATTTCTGTTGGGATTTATTTGCTTTAGGCAAGCTTCTGATTGTCTTTATTTTTCTGTCAAAGGGCCCAAGTTTAGTCCTAACTCTGCTGTTCATTCCTTGGGTCCCCTTGGACAAATCACTTCACCTTTTGGGGCTTTGGTTTACCAATCGGTAAAACGGAGGATTTAGAATAGATGGTTTTTTAATGTCCCTTCTAGTTCATGAACCTATGCTCTGGCTGACAGGGCTGCTGGATTTTATTCCAGGTATTCCCACAGTGGAGGTAGGGAGGGATGGAGGAACAGAGTAAGACACATGCTCTAGAGGGTAGCCAGCATTTTGGGTCAAAGATAGCCTCCAAGGGACAACTGCCCCTAATGCTATGTGTCTTCTGGTGATCTCTGACTTTTTCATTGTTCCCAACTGTGAAATGGAGATCAGTGATACTTAAAAAGGTCAGAAGCAGGATCTGAACACAGGTCCTCTGACTCCAGAGTCAGTGTTCTTTCCAGTATACAGTTTTTATCCTGATTCTGTCCCTACCTGGGTTCATATTCCACTTCTAACACTTAATAGCTCTATGACATTGGACAGGCCACTTCATTTCCCTGGGCCTCAATTTTCTTATCTATAAAACGAGGTTAGACTACAAGGCATCTGAAGTCCCTTCCCAGCTTGAGATTTATGTGTCTGTGAGTCTACTAATTAGTTGAGTGACCTTGAATATGTGACTTAAACATCTCTGGGCCTCAGTTTCCTCATTTGTAACATGAGGGGGTTAGGCTAGCTAATCTCCAAGACCCCTTATAGCCATGATCATCCATGAGGTATTTTCTGCTTCTCCAGAGATAGAACTTTGTAAATACAGAATGTTATGAGTTCAGTTCTTTGAGCCATCATCCCTCTTTCTCCTGTCTTTATGACTCATAAGGACTAGCTCCCTTTGTCTTTATTAGCCAGCTATACTTAAAGCTTCAAACATGATTTCAAGCATTCCATTCTTTGAATGCCTCTTTCCCCTCTGCATCACAGGATCGGTTCCTCCAAAGATCAGTATTTAGATGTCATGCTGTATTCCACAAGACCATTCCTTATTTCCTCAGTTATTAGCATCTTCTCCCAAATATTACTTTGTGTTCACTTTGTTTGAATTTTATATTTATTTGTTTTCCTCCAGTAGAATAGAAACTCCTTGAGGGCAGAGACTTACTATTTTGTCTTTGTATCTTTGGAGCTAATACAGTGCTTGGCACTTAATAAATCATTAATCTTAAACAAACAATACTTGTCAACAAATTAACAAGAATAATCTTAACAAATCATTTCTGAGTGAATGAATCTAAGAATTACTCCCTTACATACAGTCGATTCAATGGCATAGGGAAGAAATGCCTCATACTGTGAGTTCTGTCTAAAGATCCTTTCTGTGGAATCCCTAGCTTACTTCCTCCCATTTGCCACTTTAAGAAAATCAAAACAACTCTTATCATAAAAAATAAAACTAAATAGTACAGTGGAAAGAGCACTGGCTTTAGAACAAGAGGATCTGAATTCAAAATCTGACTACTACCTAAATGGATTTGGACAAATAATTAACCATCTCTGGGCCTCAGTTTCCTCATCAGTAAAATGAGGGGATTTTTCTCTGGGGTTCCTTCTAGATCTTCAATCCTATGACTAATACTCTGCATTTGATGTAACACCAATGAGGTGACCTGTCTTAAAAAAAAAAGTAAATAATTAATGCATTCCACAAACAAAACTATAGATATTGCCATATGGTAAACATGAACACTGTTGAAAATCACCTTGGGGTCCTCTTGAGCACTGTTGTATTCTGGTAGTTGAAATACAAGGCTTTTAAAAGTCCTGCTTGGGATTTTATCACCTACTTGTTTCCCCAATTAAGTAATTAGATGGAGAGAACCAGTGGCTGAAGTAATTGGTACAACAGTAAGCTACAAAGTATTGTCTTTATGATGTAGTCATTTTGAGAAAGGAATGAAGCTTCCCAGAAGAGAGTTGTGTGTGTGCTCACAAGTGTGCTTGTATGTACGGTAAAAATGGAACTTCCCTGCTTCCTGCATTTGCTGGCACTACGGCCCATTGAGCAGAGGGCATCCTCTGTTGGGATGAGTGCCGGCCTAAGAGGAAAAGCTCTGGGAGGGGGGTGGGGATACTCCTTGTTCTCAGCTGCTATCTCAGCCAGCAGATGGAATTTCCCATTGAGGCCCCAGCTGTGATTTGGCTTGGATTACCCTGGCTCTGCATATATTTCCCAGATTGTCATGGAGAATTGGTTTCTCCATCAGCTGGTATGGTTGCTCATTCACTTTAGAGGTCCCCACCCACTTAAGGCTGGTGGAGCTATAGTTAGAAAAGTGACAGAAAAAGAACCAGGGATCAAGTAACCATATAAGCAAATCTGGCTGCTTTGTTGACTTACTTTCCTGAGAAGAGTGAAAAAGCAGCCTGGTGGAGTAGAAAGAATATTGGAATCAGGAGCCCTGGGTTAGAATTCTGTCTCATGATACCTACTGGTCTCGTGCTCACAAATAAGTCCATCATTTCTCCCTTAATGCAAGAATGATGAGCCCTAATTTAGGCACATAAGGCCAGTTTTGTACAAACACTGAGATCCTAGGAATCTGTTGTTTCTCAGTTGATTAGGGGGGAAAACTTACGCAGAATCACCTGTCCCAGTGACAATCTGGGACAAGACTTTCTTATTTTCTGGGCAGAAAGTTCTAATTCCAAAAACATTTTACCTATATCAACAAGGCTTTTCTTATCTCTTCAGTTGCTCTGGCCAATTCAGATCATGTCTGTGTGGTCAACATGCATACTGTTCCTTTCCTTAGGATAACAGCTGGGATTCGAAACAAAAACCAATTAATTTTTCTTCCTCAAATGAGGCTAGCTGGGTACATCCTGGATGCTGGGTTGATGATGCACCTTTAATATTCCAGGTCTAAGACTTTAATTAGAAGGCAAGGAAATCTCCAAGACGGCAGTAATTATTTTTCAAATTAGCTGCACCAATCGCAATAACTATTAAGCTAGATGTTTCACAAACATAGATAGCAATAAATGAAAAGAGCAGAATTTGTTTCTGTAACGTGCATCCTTCCTTCTCTTCGGATGTCCCAAGTTCCTCTCCCTGCATGCTGAGGCTATGGTTACTCCACAGTCTAAATAAGTGACAAAAAGAACTTCAGAGCGTTAGAATTTAAGTCCCTTGAAGGCAGGGCCTGTCTTTGCTTAGCACAGTGACTGGTATGCAGTAAGTGTTCAATAAATGCTTGTCAATTATTATAATTGTATAGCACGTCTCTCCAGAATGCTCACAACGTGATGTGGTTATGTGGAGTATGTCTTAGAGTCACTTCAACCCCCAGGGAGAAGCATTTCTATTTTTATATTGCTGAACTGGGCCAGATGACATATTAAGTCTTGCTTGCTGAGGACAGTCACAAGAAAAGTCGGGAACAGAATTCCCGGATTCCAATTATCTTTGTTCTACCCATCATTCCATGTTGCTCTTCAGCTGATTGGCTGGTGTTTGAGATTCTCCAGCCAACCAGAGTATAGACTAGCTAGAATGAATAGGGCTTGCCTTGGCATAGGTACAAAATCCAAAGTGGCCCTGGGAAACCTCTTGATCCATTGATACTCTTTCTTTGGAAGCTCTGGTATCATGGATATTTCCTAGGGTGAAGTGATTCACCCTTGCAGTCTGGCTACAGAACCAGATGGCTTTGGCTTGGGAAGGATGGCATTATTTCATGCCTGCAAGTGGGGTCCATAGCTTGTTAATGATGGAGTACTCAAGGCTGGGAGGGGAGGCCAGCTGGCTTGTTAGTTGGGAAGTATCAGAAGCCTAGACTCATTCCTGGGGTTTTTCAGTCTGAATGGACAGGTTAACAGGGTACCAGCTAGTAAGCTGCCAAAATAAAATATTTGTAGAATAGGATATTTGTATAAATCAGCTGAGGGAGCTCCTGATGTTTGTGTTTATTAGGAAGGATATTGTTCTCTTTAAGGTATTACCCTGAAAACAGGGAGTGGCACAGTTCTTACCCAAATGGCCTGTAAGTGGAGGGGGAGGCTGTTTGAGGGGAGATAGTGGATTATCAGAATTGACTTGCATTCTAGAATTAAATTTATACCACTAGCTGGTTGTTCTTTAAAACTTTGCGAGGGTCCAGGTGTTATATTACAGGGGTTATATTTGTTAGAGAGGTAGAAAAAAAAAGCCTACTGACTTCATTTAATACTCCTCATTGGGAGTAATTGTTCATTCGTCCATTCATTCATTCATTCATTCATGCATTCATTCAACTTTAGGCACTGAGTCTTAAACTGAGGTTGCTCCCTGGTTCAGCATCACTTCAGAAGAGGTAATTATAAAACAGGTGGGTGCTGCTGTGGATATCAACATCTTTCCTTCCTTTCTCCATAGGTCCCAGTCCCTCCCTTAGCATCAGGTGGATGCTTTTGTGACCTG